ATATATTGGCACTGAATTGAAAACGTGATCCTGCATTGCTATTCGTCCCAGGCACGCCAGAAACGCAGGTCGCACATGAATTTAATAATTGGATGATATGGACGATTCAACACTGTTATAGCACGCGCATTTTGCTTTCGTACCCTCGCCTTCGAATGACCAGAAATTGTGCAATTGCAGAAATTGACGTGGCATTAACGTGGCATCGATTCAAGAACTTTGAGCACACGTGATGTCACCTTTCTCATCGAGAATTTAGCCACGTGTGCCACGTGGCTTAATGCCACGTCAATTTCTGCAATTGCACAATTTCTGGTCATTTGAAGGCGTGGTTAACATTCATTGACACTTTCTACGCTACCCTAAAGCACGCGCACGGCAGTCGCTATCCTGAAGCGGACCTGCGCGTTCACGATAGAACCGAATGGTTTACCATCCTGAATTGCATTAGTTGTACCAGATTCATACGAGAGCGTAAAAATACTGAGATGTGGATCTGACCTCCGAAACCCTTGTGTAAATTAAACCCATTTTGATGCCACTGCGATCCTCAACGGTAGTCATCTCTGTGGCCATCGCAAAATTGAACAGTTCAACAGTGATCAACTCATCCCTATCTCCCCTGAAGTAGCAAGGGTAGAAGGTAAGGTTGGCCACGACCCGGCTTTATTCAGCCTGCTCCAAACCTCGCTAAAGAGGTACTGTTTCTCTGCTAGAGCGCTGCTTTCCCTTCAGTATTCATTTAGAGTTCATACCAACTCTTCTAAGGCCATCGAAATTCAGTCATCAACAATAATCCCTTTCGAGAATTAAGTCTATGTGTCCTCAACCCTAGAGCAAAAGCTATCTGTTGACTCAAAAGCTAAAGCGACGAGACCGGCTGGGACTTATGAACTGCATCAATACACGCCTATCATTGCGGATGTTCTGCTGTCTGCGTCTCAATCGTCCCTATGCTTTTTCGTATCAGCCGCCGGCCTTGTCAATACAGAGACTAGTCCACCGTTCAGACAACCGCCCCCTTTTTCAGCAAATTATCGTCCATTTTTCTTCACTTGCGCCACTTCACATCTTAGCTTTTTCAGGCGTGATATTCACACGAGGCAGTGACCGATTGTCTTCAAGATAGTGATCCTTTGGAACAACCGCATTCTAGATTCGCCTCGAGTTCAAATATCCGTCAATTAGTGTTACAACAGCCGGAAGGGATTCAGTAATTGCTTGCTCTTCCAGCTAAGCCTCTTGCTTAACCCCCTTTACCAGACCGCCATGTTTATTTTGATAAATTACAGGACAGCGTAATGTCCTTCATTATTCCCAGTCCGAGATCATCACCCATGCTTTGCTTCAAAGGGAGTCTCAGGCAACAAAGCCGACTGATGCCTTTCACTTCCCTCAGTCTACCCAATCCTTGTCCCCTATCTGATTCAAATGCTTAATTGAGCTCTCCCCGTAAGGAACCCTTATTAACGGCCATAAATCATGTGTTAGATCGACTCAGAAGCATCGTTCATCAGTCGCCAGTTGTAAAAGCCATGAACGACGTCCGTCATCATGCTCATCAGAACGATGGGTCCCTCGTTGGTCAGCCAGCCAGCGTTGTGCTGGAAAGCTGCGAAGCTGCGTCGTGGCGCGTGCCAGTGTCAATGGTTTTGCTGAGGTTGATGTGAGATTGAGTTGATCGATGAGAGCCCTCGCAACTCTGCTGACTATCGGCCAACACTGACAGCAACAATTACCAACTTGATTTACAGCTGAATTGGCTGAGAAGGCAACGCGCATTGCAACAGTCCAGTGAATTGAACCAACCGACCGCGAAGGACCTCAAGAAGGGTTTTGACAGTGACAGTTGCCAATTCTCTACTTTTTCTGTGTCAAAGGGTTTTTAAGTAGTATCTTGATTATTGTCCAGACGCTGCAGTCACTTATCTTCTTTTTGGAAGGATCAAATGTACGTAGCTCTCGGTTCGAGGGTTGGCTTGGACGGCAAATCGCCTCCCTAATGTTCCTGATGGGAACAGTGTGGAAATTTCACTCAAAATCCCGACATAAGAATATAGTTTGAGAGGAAAAAAGGAGGGTTTCGAGGAAGTTCTTCCTGTTAGGAATCCTATCTTGGTTCTCAAGGGATGGAAGATTGCAAATTATGATCGAATAACACCTTCACTGCAGCTTTCACTTTGAGCACTGCATGGTTTGCACAATTCAGGCGAACCTGGTCCCGCGAAGAAAACCTTCCACGGCATCATCGACAAGTCTCCTCTTTCGTTTGGTGGTGAAGACTGCAGGATTTTTCTCGCCCTCTTCTATAGATTTCAGGGATCAACGGTGAGCTCAGGTTGGAGAAGCCAGATGTGACGAAAAGGACTGGGAAATCGGAAACTTCCATGCAAAAATTAGAATTCGAACAGCAGGGCGGATAATCTCTACGATTTGTGCATGAGCTTTTTTCTTAAAGGCAAATGCTCGGTTCAGACCCACCTTATGACCTTACGGTGCTAAAGCGCTAGCGTGTATCGGTCGCGTCACTTCCCTACTTCGGAAACCGTTATTTAGACGCTAGGCTCTAAGAACTTTGACACGCTCCACCTGCTGCGACACGCTCCGCCCACCGCTCGATATCTTGTCTGCGTCGGAATGTTGATCTGCTATGCTCTCTCTACTTAGACTTCTCTAGCGCTCTCCGCGCTCACATTATCTCTCATCTCCCTGCCGGCCTTTTGAACTTCTCCGCACCGTAGAGGAAATGGCTCGTTCTAAGCATTTCACGATTTCTTTTTCTCTTTTCTGCACTGGCGGTCCACTACCTACCCCTACTTTCACATTTAAGGTGGAAACAACCTCATAAATTCAAGTCCCGAATCTGCCTCAGAGGTAGAACATCGATTTGGAGCTTAAATACTCTAGCCTCATCTCTCATGGACGACGTTCCTACTAATCCGTACTGCCTTGAATACACAGGTGTACGGATTACTGGAGAACGGTCGTTTTCGAAGGCTAAAGCACATTTTAAAGCCCTGAAAACGAAGTTCAAAGCTCTTGTTTGGACCTCTCGAGAACGAAGTGGTAAACTGCAAGTCGCGGAACTTTAGGAATCATGAAAATGAGTCACCATTTCTTCTGGACGAGCACCATAGCCAATCATGTACCCAGAAGTCATTTCCACCCCACAGAGAAAGGCGTGATAACCTCCTGAACTGTAGATCGTTTCTAGACATCGATCCGATATTTGTTACCACTGCGATTTTCCCGTTTTCCAAAAAAACTTCGTGTCCCATTTCGCGCCAGATGGCGGGTTAAATACCTAGTTAGGTTTAAAATAACCGCGTGTTTTTTTTCCACGCAATATTAAATGGACTAAACGCAGCTCCAAAAAACGTCCAACATTCCGAAATGAGCTTCTACAAATGCATCAGACGATGCACACCACGTTCTAGGTCATAAGACACTTTACAAATTGGGCTTCTCAACTCCCTCAATTTGTTTGGCACAAACAGTAAAAAAACCTCACCCAACTCGCCCAGGGGTGGAGACACACGCTCGCTGTCCATACCTCGCTAATCAGGCGAAACGAACGATGAGAGGCTGTGTTCAATGGACCTGTGCAACATTCCAGAGTGGCGACCAGCCGGAGGGCGGGGCCACTCACTAGATTGCTGTCTTTGGAAGTTTGGCTTGACTGTTTCCCTCAGAGGGATCAGGTTCAAAGCTGAGCAAGAGCGCTCCTTTCAGGTCCCTGTGCCGTTCCTTTATTCGGCACCCGCTAATGACCATGATGACCAGTGAAGCGGCAGGTGTTGAGAGGGCCTCATCGTCATCACCACCCGTTCGGCCAGCTATCCGGCTGGCTGGTTTGGCTGGGCGTCAATGCAACAATACGCCATTCACATGCGCAGCTCGACAAAAAGCCTCGTGAATGATGCACGCGCGGCGCGATTTGCTATGAAAACAATCGCGTGAATTCCACCGGCCGCGAATAATCCGAATACGGTAGTTCGGCCGCTGCGGCCGTCGTCAAGCACGATACGGTCGATACTCAGGCGATGAGTGTCCTCAGCGCCGGATTAGTCAATTAGCTCCAGCAACGGAGATGGCCGAAGGATTTCGTGGAATTAAACGCTTTTATGGACCACTGGCTTTAGGAGAATAGTTAATGGTGAACTCGTCCAGCACCTAAAACATCCTTCCTGGCCACAAAGAGCACTGAGCACAGCTGATTCCGTTAAACAGCTATATTGTGATTTTGTCAAGAATTGTGCACGTCAATAGAAAGGATGTTGTAGATGATGATGCTACAAGGACAGGGCTGCGCCGCGCTCTCCACCCCAGCCACAAAGGGAGACGCGATTCAATGGTGCTATTTCAACGGTTCCTTCAAAAAGGAAGAAAACAACGTTTGCAGATATCGTGCCATCGAAAAGGTAAGTATTCAGTTACCGGCACAAACTATGAACGGCAATAGAGCTTCTCATAGCCGACTGGGCAATATTTAATTCTCAGAAAAATCTTAACTGATGCTATCATCTCAGCAATCGGATTTTAATTTCAGACCCCGACAAACAGCTCTACAACAATCTGCAGGTTGGCGAACATGATTCAAGGCATCGTAGGATTCGACTCACAGGGGTAAATTCAATATTTCAAATTATGATCAACTTTCCGAGAAATTATTGAACAACGAGTAGGCGCTACCGCAAGACACGGGGGCATTGAGGAGGTGCCACATTTGAAACAAGCGCGGAACCTCACGATACCGTCGGAACCTACTCGCACTCGGACTTTCCATATCTTACAAGGAACCGTTATTCCGCAGTGGTGAATTTGTTTATTTAGTTGCTGCACTTGTCTGCTTCCAATTTTTCTGTGGTGGAAGGGTTTTTGTAGGAAACACTTAGTTGGCTACGGAGTTGGCTACCCAGATAAACTTAGCCAGGTCCGATTTATCTAGGATAAATTAATTGAGAATAGTCTTTGGTTCTCTTCCGTTACGCTAGCCCAAATTAGGCATCTAACAGAAATTTCAATTGAATGATTGTCCTATAAGTCAAAATAGACCGTACCTGCTTGAACTGTTCCTCGTAGGACCATGACGGACCGCCCAGTGACGTGCCGCCTTCCCCATGATGATCCTCCAATGTGCATCTTTGCGAAACTGAAAAAAACAAGGTACGGTCCACATCGACAACAGACAATAGTAGGCTATTTCTGGCACAAGTACAATAGCAAGTGTAACATTGCCTGCCTGAGGCAATACTCACCACCCTTCCCTATGAAACCATTACAAAGGGCCCCAAAACAAGGTGGAAGACCGTACCTCATCGTCAAGTCTTCCGGTTCAGTAGTGGTGCTGTTCTCAATCTCGTCCTCTTCGTCAGGTCCCGGTGAAACACCGCTCAATCCACCGGTCAATCCAAGCAATTGTTGCTGCAAAACCGCTCAGTAATTAAAAATCACCCGGCTTGTTCAAATGGTCCATTTAACACCACAATAATTAATTAGTAATTGCTTGTGAGGAAGAGACTGACCTGTAAGGCCAACGGATTTTGTTGCAGTGCGGCCAGGAACGGTGGCAGAACGTTCATGTTGAAGGCGGAACGGAATCCTCCAAGTCCTGCATAAGAAATTTGAAATCTTTCGATCATATTCTTAATTGAAAGAAGAGTTCTTCAGAGGAACTTCCTCCCTACCTCGGAAAACGAGAAGAGCGTGGAGTACAGACCACGTATCAGAAGTGACGCTTTCTTGGCCGTCGTCACTTGTGGTGTGTGGTCTGCGCTCGACGCTTTCCCACTTTCCGGAATAGGGAGTACATTTTTTATGATGGCTTCAGTGAAAACCGTCCAGTTCCATGTTACTTCGATTAATATATTATTTAATCCTACTGGCTGTGCTTCCTCTAGAAAATTCTTGCGAAGATGAAATACGAGAAATCCTGATTACAATAACAACTACTATTATATTATTGAGATATTATTGGATACAACATGGTGAAAATAATAACGTTAATAACATGCATTATTATTGCTATTTTGTACTATCAGATACTATTAATAAAGTACTAATTATGATCATCTCATACCTACGATGCTCTATGTAGATTTTTCAAAGGTTTCTTATCTAGTCATAGTCCAAGATGCAAAATTGGAGGATCATCATGGGGAATCAAAAAACTTGCATCGAAATATAGAAAAATAACTTTATTACTAATATGGTAAACTATTCTTTTGATTAGCACAACTAAAAAACGTTTGATAATGCAAATGGGAAAAGGAATAATTCCATAAAATGACAGCTCCAAGATGGTACAAGTTTTTCAAAATGCAACCTCAAAAATATGTAATAACGGGACTGCAATTCGAAAAATTTGAGGGTCCCATTTTCCGATGCAAACAAATAAGAATGGAATGGCCAAAAATTAATGAGTGATATTTGAGGATCAACGATTATTCCCATGCTCTAACCCCTACGACAAAACAGAGGGTCATAAGTTGTGGGACATCTTTGATGCACAAAGATCGCAAAGCTTTTGTAACCAGGGACAAATCGGTCCTACTCGACGGTTGGCTTAATATCTCTGAGCCCTCCCACTCCACATCCCACAATTGGAATTTTCTAAGTTGTACAGGAGTTTTGGCAAATTATACTTGAATTTGAATTATGGCGACGGCACGCTCGGTAATAAATATGTCAAATAGGGCTTTTATAAATCTGTCGCCAGGCATCACCCACAAAATTACACGCTACAGGATAACTGTGAGTTCAGCTGCTCAGCTCCAAGTAAACGCCGCTGGCAAGAATTTGAGAAATGTGAGAAATTAAAAATGAGAAAAAGGCAACAAGTATTCGGGAAGTGTCCTTACCAAGACTTGAAGTGAACCTCTGAAATGCCTTTTGCTGTGCCTCAATATCGAACGTATTCGACGGCGTTTCTGGTGACGGAGTGC